AAAAAAAAAAAAAAAAAAAAAAAAAAGGCTTTGTATTTATACAAGACTATCAGTAGTCATTAGTAGCAGCATCATTTTATAGATTTGAGTATTAATATTTCCATATGTTTGTATAGGTACCTGTCCAATTTTTTTCTTTTAAAATTTTATAAGGAAAATACATGCATATTTATGTTAATTATGTTAATTTTGTTAATTATGTTAATTTTTAAAACATAAAAAGGTAAAAAGAAATTTGTCTTCTTTTCCTGTCCCCCGGTTCGCCCCAGAGGCAACTACTTTAAAAAGATTCTTATATGACCTCTTAGACATATGTACTTCATCACCGTCCCCTTGCCTGCCTCTTTTTATTTTTAGTTTCTTTATTCGGATGACATTCTATCATTGTTCTGTAGCTGTTCATTGCTTCTACAGGTATTGATCGACTTACGACCTATACAATTTACGACCATTCGACTTTACGACCACAATGTTTTGCAAATATTAAACCAGTTGTACTGGTAATGCAGTGTTTTACTTAAACCTGACGAATGTAAAAATAAGAAACAAAATGGTGTAGAGAGGATACAAATGGCATAAAATGAACAAAGAAAATTATGATATATAACAATGAAAGAAAATTATGATAAAATTGACTTAAAGATTTTTATAACATCATTTCACAGTACTGTACATATAGCCTACTCAACTTATGACCAAATTGTGTTACGACTGGTCTGTCGGAACCAATCGTGGCCGTAAGTCGAGCACTAGCTGTACTTCATATTGAATCTTAAAAATTGTTTCATTTTTGCACATAGGAATTTTACCACTACTGAATTTGATTCCATTATGTAGTTGCATCATAATTTAATTTTTCATGTATATTTAGATTAGAAAGAAACAAAACCCACACAAAAATTTCAGCTTTTATAAACTATGATGAATTAAATATTTTGTACTTAAATGAATGTGTATGTAGGATAAATTCGAGGAGGTAGAATTACAGGGTCAAAGGGATATATATTCAGATAGATTTTATCAAATTGCCTTCTAAAAATTCAACCAATTTATACTCTCGCCAAAATTAGAGTAGGCTGGGTATGGTGGCTCACACTTGTAACCCTAGCACTTTGAGAGGCTGAGGCGGGTGGACCACGTGGTTAAAAATCATCTCTACTAAAAGATACAAAAATTAGCCGGGTGTGGTGCCTCCTGTAGTCCCAGCCACTCAGGAGGTTGAGGCAGGAGAATCACTTGAACCTGGGAGGAGGAGGTTGCAGTGAGCTGAGATCGCACCACTGCACTCCAGCCTAGGTGATGGCTCTAGGTGATTAAATGAGATATGTGTATTTGTTAAAAACTAAACTCTCAATTGTATATATTGATGCATTTATATACTTACATATGTATGTCTGGACATCACATCTCATAAATCAGGCAACAGGTATCTAAAAGTTGTTAACTGACTGTTAAGAAATGTAGTCTGTTGTCTGTTTCCTAGTTGAGCCAGTTTTCTTTTCTCTCAGCATTGGAATTCTTCTCTCCACCTTTGTACTTTCCTTGCTGTCTTCACCTTGAGCCTGTGTTTCACTGTGGAACTCCTCTTAGGAGGTACTTCTGGCAGAGAAAAAGGGGTCTACACTGGGAACTTCCTGTCTGGTTGTTGACAGGCATTTCTGTATTGTAGCTGACAGTGTGAGATCTGTTCCCCCTACTTTGCTGTGTATTTTATATGTAAATGTTTTTTCTCATTTATATTGTTGTCAAATCATTCACAAAAGCACTGGTTTTTTGTGTTTTTTTTTTTTTTTTTGAGACGGAGAGAGAGGGTTTTTCCCGTTTTCCCCCCTGGGGGGGAAAGGCGCGATCTCGGCGCACCCCAACCTCCGCCTCCTGGGTTCAGGCAATTCTCCTGCCTCAGCCTCCTGAGTAGCTGGGATTACAGGCATGCACCACCATGCCCAGCTAATTTTTTGTATTTTTAGTAGAGACGGGGTTTCACCACGTTGACCAGGATGGTCTCGATCTCTTGACCTCATGATCCACCCGCCTCGGCCTCCCAAAGTGCTGGGATTACAGGCGTGAGCCACCGCGCCCGGCCGCACTGGGTTTTTTTATTATTATTTTCTCAGAGATCCTTGTTCCGACACTGTTAGTTTTTACTGTTAGTTTTTTACCCATGAACCAATTAATCCCTCTAGGTAATTGAGAACTGATTATAATTTATAATTTTTTAAATTCTGGTTTATAATTTAAGGCGAAAACTTTGAATTCAGGTTTTCTCTAGACTAGAGCTGAATCATTGCTTCTTGGTATTATTTTAACTTGATGATTATTAAAGAAATGTGCCTATCTGTTTTGGTGGGGGGTATGTATTCAAATGGGAAATTTGTAGAAATGATGTAATGTATTGATTTGTAATGATGTCATTTCTTTATTTATAGGTAGGCGAAAACCAAGAGTACATCGGCCTCGTTCTCCAATATTGGAAGAAAAAGACATCCCGCCCCTTGAATTTCCCAAGTCCTCTGAGGATTTAATGGTGCCTAATGAGCATATAATGAATGTTATTGCCATTTACGAGGTACTGCGGAACTTTGGCACTGTTTTGAGATTATCTCCTTTTCGCTTTGAGGACTTTTGTGCAGCTCTGGTGAGCCAAGAGCAGTGCACACTCATGGCAGAGATGCACGTTGTGCTTTTGAAAGCAGTTCTGCGTGAAGAAGATACTTCCAATACTACCTTTGGACCTGCTGATCTGAAAGATAGCGTTAATTCCACACTGTATTTCATAGATGGGATGACGTGGCCAGAGGTGCTGCGGGTGTACTGTGAGAGTGATAAGGAATACCATCACGTTCTTCCTTACCAAGAGGCAGAGGACTACCCATATGGACCAGTAGAGAACAAGATCAAAGTTCTACAGTTTTTAGTTGATCAGTTTCTTACAACAAATATTGCTCGTGAGGAATTGATGTCTGAAGGGGTGATACAGTATGATGACCATTGTAGGGTTTGTCACAAACTTGGGGATTTGCTTTGCTGTGAGACATGTTCAGCAGTATACCATTTGGAATGTGTGAAGCCACCTCTTGAGGAGGTGCCCGAGGATGAGTGGCAGTGTGAAGTCTGTGTAGCACACAAGGTGCCTGGTGTGACTGACTGTGTTGCTGAAATCCAAAAAAATAAACCATATATTCGACACGAACCTATTGGATATGACAGAAGTCGGAGGAAATACTGGTTCTTGAACCGAAGACTCATAATGTAAGTAACTCTGGTCTTAATTATTTGTATGCATTTAAAATAAACTAGTTTCCTTCATGATTGATGTAGCAGAGCTATGCTGTTGATGTGATATAAACCTTTGTAACTTCATAGTTACACAGTTAAATAATTTCTTAGTTGAAGGAATATGTGCATTAAAAGAGCTTTTGAGAAGGAAAGAAGCAAAATGTCATTGCGTTTGATGCCTAGGATAGGACATAGAATGTTTCTAGGTGGGGCTGGGCATGGTGGCTCATGCCTGTAATCCCAGCACTTTGGGAGTCCAAGATGGGTGGATCACTTGAGGTTGGGAGTTCGAGACTAGCCTGGCCAACATAGTGAAACCCCACCACTACTGAAAATACAAAAATTAGCCAAGTGTGGTGGCACGCACCTGTAATCCCAGCTATTCAGAAGGCTGAGGCAGGACAATTGCTTGAACCTGGGAGGCAGAGGCTGCAGTGAGCTGAGATCATGCCAGTGCATTCCAACCTGGGTGAAGAACGCTTCTAGGTGGAATGCCACCATGGGCCCGTTTTTGGTTATGTTCCCCTGTGGCCTAGCTCAGGTCATCCACCCCTAACTTTGGTGTTAAGATTGTTTTACTTCTCTTTTTTGGTTTTACCCTATCTGTATGTAAAATGGAGCAGCAAGAAAAAGATCAGCTCTGCCAGTATTGGTTGTAATCCCCCAGGAGGAGATGCTTCCAACAGACTCAGGATCATAGTCTGGCCTCAGTGTTTCCGAGGGTTTTCGAGAAGCTCTCCTGGGAAGTCTGTGGGCAAGATTGGGAGACAGTCTCAGGGTTTACCTCAGTCAGGGCATCAGGCAGGGTTGTCGTATGGACTGAGTATCTGACATCCTGTAGGTATATGGTCAGGGGGATGGGCTACTTTGTGTTTTCAGCTTCTGAAGTCTTCAAAGCCTTCTTCCAGTTCTTAGAATTAGGTCAAATCAAAAAATCTGGTAGGATGAAATGACTGTCGGAGCAGGGCATGGAGAGGAGAGTACAAACTTTATCATTGTGCTGTCGAGAAATCTGAATCCACATTGATTCTTGATTCTTTGTGGCTGGAAGCTTACAGAATCTTCGCTATCTGTGGTGTTCCACAGTTTTACAGTGATATGCCCTTGTGTGGGCTGTTTTCATCCACCAGGTGTTTTTGGTGAGCATTTTCAATCTGGCAATTGTTCTGAGAACTTCTCTTGACAACTTCCTCCTCTTTTTTTTTCTTGTATTTATTTATCTTGAGCTATGGTTTTATTGAACATTGGACTTCCTATTTTTGTCTTCTTTCTTACCTTTTCTTTCCAGTTTTCCTCTTTGTCTCTTTCTTTCTTTGGGGTGTGTGTATGTGTTGAGTTTTTCAAGATTTCCTTGTCTTGGCCGTCCAACTCTACTATCCAGTTTTTCTTTTCTGCTATTTTTTTATTATCTAAGAGCTCTTTTATTTTTAGAATCTTCCTTTAAAAAAATAATGAAATCCAGTTTCTGTGTCTTACTGGATATAGAATTTTCTCTTACCTTTCTGAGGATATTAATGACAGGTTTTTTTTTCTGTCTTCTGTGCATTGTCTGTTTCTTCTAAGTTGCTTCTTCCTATTCTTTGTTTTGGTTTTTCTGTTTCATACTCACATGTTTATTCTTAATTTTCTGCTCCTCATTAACATTGTGATACTGTGTAGCCAGTTGGAAGCTCTGAGCAAGTGGGTGGGCCTTATCAATTTTGATTTAGCCATTGCATGATTTTCATTGTCTGTTTTCTTGAGGGGAAGTCCCTCTTATCAGTATCTTGAGGTCTGTCCTCTAGAGTAAGCTCTCGAGGAAAGATGGCATGGAAAGGCCTTTTCTTTTCCTGTGTCCTGCTTGAAGCATGAAGGTCTTGCTAGTGGTATTCTGATGGCTGAGTCGGAGAAGAAGGCTTCATTTATCGTGCACACAGCATTTACTATGTGTACGGTCACTTAAACCCTCAGTTTTCTGTACAGTACCTTTGTTCACAACTGAGTGTGGTTTCTCCCAGTCCAGGGAACCTCAGTTTACCTCCTCTAGAGACTAGACCTTTGACAGCTTCAAGTGAAGAGAACTGGTTTAGGAATCTGCTCCATAAACAGCTTCCAGCCAGTTCACTATTCTAGAGACGCCTCTCCTCATTATGGTTGCTCTTTGAGGATTGTGTTCTAAACCTCACCTTCCTTTTTTAGTTTGAGATTGGGCCTTCTTGGCTCTGCTGAGGCAGTAATCACTAGTTCATCTACTTTCAGAATTTTTTTGCTGTTGTTATTTTGTGCCTCCTACTTTATGCTTATGAGTTTGTCTTTAACAGTTTTGTTTGTTTGTTTGTTTTTTGTTTTTTTGTTTTAATTTAAAGATAGGATGTCACTTTGTCACCCAAGCTCTGGAGTGCAGTGTCGCTGTCTCGGCTAACTGCAGCCTCAACCTCCTGGGCTCAAGCAGTCGTCCTGCTTCAGCCCCCCAAGTAGCTGGGACTACAGTTGTGTGCCACCACACCCAGCTAATTTTTGCATTTTTTGTAGAAACAGGATTTTGCCATGTTACCCAGGCTGGTCTCAAACTCGTGAGCTCAAGCTATCTGCCCACCTCGGACACTCAAAGTGTTGGGATGATAGGCATGAGCCACTGCGTCCAGCCTAACAGTATTTTTTCTGCTTGGTTTTAAGAAGGTTTTAGGAGGGAGCAAAATTAAATCTGTCACCTTAATCCAGAAACTGCTATGAGAAATGATACATAAGGTCTTAAATGTATATTTTGTGTCTTTTAGTTTGGATCAGTTATTTTAAGAAATAAGTGTAAAATACGTAATTTTTTTCTTTTCTTGCTCACTTACCTCCCAAACATCTGGTCATGGTATTCATTGTGCTGTTTTTTTGTTTTGACATTTTGCTGTTGAGGTGGTAACACGGAAACCTTTGTCAGCAAGGTCATTCCAAATGGTGAAATAACTGTAACCACATTTTAAGTTTACTGCTCTCGGGAAGCTGAGGCACAAGAATCTCTTGAACCCAGGAAGCAGAGGTGGCAGTGAGCTGAGATGGTGCCACTGCACTCCAGCCTGGGTGATGGAGTGAGACTCTGTCTGTTTCAAAAAAAAAAAAAAAAAGAAAGAAAGGGGGCCAGGCGCGGTGGCTCATGCCTGTAATCTCAGCACTTTGGAAGGAGGGTGGATCACCTGTGGTCAGGAGTTCAAGACCAGCCTGGTCAACATGGTAAAACCATGTCTCTACTAAGTATACAAAAATTAGCTGGGCATGGGGGCTGGCGCCTGTAATCTCAGCTACTCGGGAGGCTGAAGCAGGAGAATTGCTTGAACCCAGGAGGCAGAGGTTGCAGTGAGCAGAGATCGCGCCATTGCACTGCAGCCTGGGCAACAGAGCGAAATTTTGTCTCAAAAAAAAAAAAAAGTTGGCTGCTGTATTGTCATTATAAGTGGAAATTCAGTCACGCTGCCTGTCAGGGAGCCCAGTGCTTGTACTTTGTATAGACATTCAACAGTTAGCAGGTCATGTTCACACAGTCTCAGATGCCCGCCTGAAAGGAACTCATAGTTGTCAGGATGACTGGGAACGAATTAGGAGGGAAATGCTCCAGTCCATACTCCAGTTCTTCCATTCCTGTGCCTTCCTTTGCTGTGCTGCTTTTCCTCACCCTTTGGATGTTCACTCTCACTGCCTCGTTCTTTCCCTGTACTACTGTTTTTGGCCAGCTGGAGACCACAAGTACCTTGTCCACATGCAGAAAAACTTTGACATCTTTAAGGCTCATTACACAGTAATCAGTGGTATAGGTCTTAGTTTCAGAGACCTGTAAATAGAAGCTAGTTGTGATAAATTAGTAATAGCCAAGAGCAACATTTATTGAGCACTTCCTTGTATGCTTAACAATGTCCTAAGCATTTTATATATTTTTGAATTAATCCTCCCAACAGCCCAACAATGCAGATACTATATTTTTAATTTTTTTTTTTAATTGAGACGGAATCTCAGTCTGTAGCCCAGGCTGGAGTGCAGCGGCACAATGTCAGCCCACTGCAACCCCTGCCTCCTGGGTTCAAGTGATTTTTCTGTCTCAGCCTCCCGAGTAGTTGAGACCACAGGCACGTGCCACCACACCTGGCTAATTTTTTGTATTTTTAGTGGAGATGGAGTTTCACCAAATTAGCCAGGATGGTCTTGATCTCCTGACCTCGTGGTCCACCTACCTCAGCCTCCCAAAGTGCTGGGATTACAAGTATGAGCCACCTCGCCCCACCTTTAATTTTTGTTTTATTTTTAATTAATTACTTTTGGACACAGGGTTTCACTGTTGCCCAGGTTGGAGTGCAGTGGCATGATCATGGCTCACTGCAGCCTCAATCTCCCAGGCTTAGGCCATCCTCCCACCTCAGCCTCCCTAGGAGCTGGGACTACAGTGCATGCCACCATGCCTAGCTGTTATTTATTTTATAGAGGTCTCACTGTCTTGCCCAGGCTGGTCTCAAACTCCTGGATTCAAGCAGCCCTCCCACCTTAGCCTCCCAGAGGGATAGTATTACAGGCCTGAGCCACTGTGCCCTGCCTTGCAGGCACCATTTTTGTCTACATTTTATAGATTAAGAGACTAAACCTCAAAGAGGTTAAATAATTTGCCTTTGATTAGCCCAAGACCCTATGGCTCTTAGGAGGTAGAACCTGGAATTTTTTTCAGAATGTGTTTTATAAAAGTATTTTCACTACCTGATTTTATACTGTAGTCTAGCTATCAAACCATCTTCATGGGAAATCTGCAGCTTGCATTGTTCAGCTGTTAAAACCTATGCTTATAACTTGGGGAGAAAGATAATGGTTTTTGTTATATCTGCAGTGAGTATTTATGAAATCTTTAAAAATTTGAAGTAAAGGCATTTTTAAAAAACCTAAACTAAGTGGGGATTTCAGAAACATTCTGTTTCATGATATATCAGTATCAATATATGAAACAACATTCAGGGAAGCAAAATATA